GCAGGGCTGACGTGAGAAGAAATTGGTGCCATACATCATCATTTCACTAGGAGTTCACCATTTGTCCCCACTCCCTTTGCTTCTGCCTTGACTACAAAGCTCAGTGAAGAGAGATGCTCACAAGAAGCACAGAGATGGACAAGCCAGAGGTATATGGAAAGCCCACGGAACAATGACCTCCTTGCCCTTATTCTGTCCTTGGACTTGGAGAATATAGAAAGAAGACCCCTGGTTTCTCTTCCACTGTGTTCGTAGCTCCCAGAAACACTTACAAACCAGGGCAGACCTCTCCTGCCTCTTCTTTTCACCCTCACCCCACAGCTTTAGCAACTTGGGATCCATTTACACCCCTTGGGGGCCAGTTTCGGTTGGATGAAGGGCGACTGTATCGGTCCTACCTCGGGCACTATGATTTAGATTTATTGTGGCATCTCATCTGTTTCCTTTGTGCTATGGTCCAGCCCTAGACCTTGGACTCCACGAGCAGGAAATTTCTGAGGCGTATGTTTGCCTGATGAAAGCCTTTGGTGCCAAGGCCAGGCTCCATATAAAACCTCACAGAACTGATGGATGCTAACATATCAGCACACGGACAGCCCCGCTGAAACATGCCTAGGCTCAGAAGGCATTTAGTGTCAAAGTTAGCATCTCTTGGGTACCATCTAAGATGTTTATAGTAAGGATGTTTTGGTAACACATTGGTGGACTAAAGAAAGGCTCAAAATTGTTACCTCCGGCAGGTTGAGTGCTGGGTTGAAACAAGCAAGGTAAAATCCAACAGGGATAAAAAAAAAAAAATAGTATTCAATTTAAATTAAAAAATAATCCATTGCAAAACTGTAGGATGGAGCAACAGATAGGGATAAGGAGGTGGGGAGAAAGGTAGGGACAGGGCTCGGCACTTGGCAGAAGGTGCAATGAAAAAAGAGCTGGTGAACTTTGTTGGGTCTAAAATTCAATGAGAAAGCAATGGGATTCAGGAGCCAAGAATTAGACTCCATCTAGCGCTGTGTAAATAGAAGCAGAGTGGGCAGATTTCAGGAAGAACTAGGTCTCCCGATGTCTACCTTTGTCTGGCCACATTGGAACGCTTAAAGAGTCATGAAGTGGTGCGTGCAGTTCTGGGCCATGTTTTAAGAAGGGCACTGAAAAACTGGAGCTTGTCCAAAGTCCGTATTTAAGTCATGCCTTATGAGAAACAGTGTAGGAATTGGGAAGTTTTAGCAAGGAGAAGATTTTAGGGGACATGTGACAGCACCCTCAAATACGTGCTGGCCGATTGTGTAGCACTGGCTTTCAATTTGTCCTGATCAACTACGGAGGGCAGAGCTATGCTGATGGATGGAGGGAAGGGAGGAGTTGAGTGTGGGCCTATTTTGGCTACTCTACTGGTTTTGGGGAGAGAGAGAGGAGAGACAAAACAGGTTTTGTGTTGAAAATCATCCCCTGGCAGACTGGAGGGGCCTGTGCGCAGGAAGAAAGCACTTTCTAACAGTTATCCACAGCAGTGGAATGGTTGTCTTAAGGTAGTCGTAAGTTCCCCATCCCTGGGAGCATTCAAAAAGAGACTGGGAGTCTAATTGCCAGGGATTCTGGGTGGAAGTTAAATTTGATAACTCTTTTGAGCCTCACTCCAGTCCACCAGTCTTACCTTTAAAGTATATCCAGCATTTAACCACTTCTTACCATCTTTAGTGCTTCTGCTCTGGTACAAGCTACCACCACACGTTGCCTTGATTGTTTCAATAGCCTCCTGACTGGTTTCCTTGGTTACATTTCTACAGCCTCTTCTCAACACAGGTAAGTCGACTGCACCATCCCTCTGCTCAAAATCTCCAATGGTTCCCCATTTCTCCAGAGTAGAAGACAAACCTTTCAATGAACTTACAGGCCTGATATGCTCTGCAAACTCCTCCTGCCCCATTACTTCTCTGACCTTATCGCCTATCACTAACTCTGACCCCATCTGTTCAGTCATTCTGCCAGTCATACTGGCCTCTCAGACAATCCTCCAACATAAGAGGAGCCCCTCAGGACCTTTGCACTTGCTGTTCCCTCCACCTGGAAGGCTTTCCCCTAGATAACCCCAAGACTCACTCCCTCACCTCCTTCCAGTCTCAGTTCAGATGTCAATTCCTCAATGAGCCCTTCTTTGGCTACCCTAGCTAACACTGCAACTCCCTCCAACACTTCCTTTTCCTTCTTTATTTTCCTCCTCAGCACACATCTCTACCTAGCACACATTTACTTGTTTATGTTATTATGTCTGTGCTTGCACCAGAATGAAATCTTCAGGAGGGTGTTGGTTTTTGTCAGTGGCTTCACTGATGCATCCCCAGTGCTTAGAAGAGCACCTGACATATGGTAGACACTCAGTAAATCTGTGTTGACCAAATGCTTGAAAGTCTAGGATTCTCTGGTTGTTTCCTAGCATGACCCAACCCACAGCATTGCAACGCGGTCGTAGGATTTCCATAGAGGTGCCCTGCCTTCTAGAGGGCCTTGGGATGGTCCAGTTCATCTAGGGGGCTTGTTCTCTTCCTTCCTTCCGTCTGGCTCAGCCCCTTCCACCTCAACCTCAGAGCCTTCGCATTGATGGGCCCCATCTCCCACGTGGCCAGCCATGAGTCAGGGCCTGTCTGATTCTAGTTTTTTCCTCTCCATCTTCTTCCGTTTCCATCTTTCCTTATACTCCATGATCCTGACCTACTCCTGCCTATTCCTCAGGAGCAGCGGAGTCTCACCCTTTCTCAGGGGAGATGGGATGGGATCGTGTGTTCAGAGCTGACAGACCAGACTCCTAGAGCTAGTGCCCTAGGGTATGAGAGGAAGCCAAGGTGATGCCAAAGCACATCAGCAGTAACCTTCTTCCTCTTGCCCTCTTGCCGCCTCCCCTGTCCCCCTCCCCTTTACCCTCAGGCTCCAGCAGGAAATTGCAGAGGGAAGTTCTGAAAGGATAGAGAAGGTAAACTAGGTGGAATGCTAAAGCATCTCCCCATTCTGACATTTTAAGATCCCAGGCTTCTGGAATGAAAAGGCAAGTTAGAGTTGACTCTCCTCAAGGCTGGCTCTTTGGAAGCAGAAAGTGGGGGAATTTATTCAGATTTCTGCAGTCCTTATTGGGACGTTTCCATTCCTAGGAAGATGGAACCGAGAGTTTTCGGATTCTTCCCCCACCTGCCCACATACCCCCCCTCACCCGCCCCCAGCCTTTCTTAGATCCAGGATGAGGGATATTTGGAGAGAAAGCTTACCGCTTGGTCCAGGAGACCGTTCTCATCCGAATCATAGAGACGGAACATGACTGCAAGAAACAGAGGAAGTCAGGCTTGAAGGGTCCCCCAGGAACCAGGGACAGGCTGAGGTTTTGATGCTGCCAAGCACTTAGTTCTGGCTCATGCTTCCTCCAAGGCGCCGTCTGACTTCCTTACAGAGGGGGTGGGAAGAAGGAGGAGAAGCAAACCATCTGGCTCCCAGCACTGTCTAAGCAATGAGTGTGGGAGATGAGATCCAGGTTGCGAGCGTGTGTTCCTCTCTGTGTCACTGGGCCACACTCAAAGCAAATGTCCATTGTTGAGCACAGAGGCACCAGAAATGCAGATGGTTCACTGCCTCTACCGCATACGGAAAGAGCGCAGGCTGTGAAGTCTGGCAGACCTAGATTCAAAGCCTGGCCCTGCCCTACCACCCCTGAGTGTCAAACAAGCCATTTAACTTCTTTAGACGCAGTTTCCTCATCTGTAAAATGAAGATTATAATAGTTTCTTTCCCTTAGGGTTGTTATGAGGATTAATATGTAAATGATATGCCATGCCTACAATGATTGGAAAGTAGAAAGCACTCAACTTGTATAAATAGCATTTAACATGCACAAGGCGTTCTTTAAAGGACTTTATCATTATTACTGATTTAATCCTCAGTAATGCTGTTTGATAGTTACTATCATAACCAAAACCATAAAACCAAACCCATTGCTGTCAACTTGATTCCGACTCATAGCGACCCTATAGGACAGAGTAGAACTGCCCCGCTGGGTTTTCAAGGAGTGGCTCATGGGTTCAAACTGTGGACCTTTTGGTTAGCAGCCGAACTCTTAACCACTGTGCCACCAGGGCTCCTCGTTACTATCATAAGAGCTTTTACATCTCTCTTTATAAACTGTCAATACGCTGTTCAGAAACTTGCTCTACCATGTTCTAGATGCAGGAGGTGAGGTCGGATAAGGAAGGTCTGGGAGAGAAATTTGGGCAAAGGATTAAATATTCACTTAAGGGACCTGGAAACCTGCATTTTGATTAACTAAAAGGTAGCGATCCTGTCTGTGGTCTCGGCAGTGAGCAGGGAGGGGAGCAGAGCTAAACATTTGTTTTCCTGCTATCGTTTCAAACCCTTCATCAGGCCTGCTCTGCCTGTGAAGACCCCTGATGGACCCTTCCTGATACAACCACTGCTGGTTTCTCAGCACATACCCACGTGATCATATTGTTCTGGCTAAGTTGCCCCTGTGTCCTCATTTCTTTCTAAATGTTTAATGTTTTTGTATCTTGTATTTGTTCAGTGGTACACCCCCAGTTGGAGTATAAGGTCTTTAAAAGGAGGGTCATGGTCTTTTGATTCTTTGAGACTCTGCAGAACATCTAGGTCAGAGGCCTTCACCGAACAGGCCGTTGAACGATGAAGGTCAGACCTTCCCCACCAGCATTGCTCTAGGATGCTGGGTCCATGCAACTCTGCATCACTGAGATCTCTTTGGTCTCCAGAGGCACTCTGCCCTTTAGGTGGCCTTGGGATGGTCCAGTTCATCTAGTGGACTTGTTCCCTTCCTTCCTCGAATGCGGAGCAGAACTAGAAAGGCCTGGGTCAGCATCCTATATTTTAG